CATGAAAATTGCTTAATTAAAGCTTGGAAACGTCTCATTTCGTACTCGTTGATCTGCGCAACAGTCAAAGTCGCCATCTTTGTTTATATGAGACCCATATATCTCGCACATGCGCAGCGCGACGACTACCGCGCTTTATGTCTAAGTTTTCAGACAATGGTTTGTTATAGTAGCATGCTAAGTAACTTACAGTTTTCTCTATTTATTTAATATGTGTCAAATCGATGGGAAAAAGCACAGTACACATTTCATGTGTATATAATTATTTATTATTCTAATAGTTATAGACATCGAGTTACGAAAACATCAAGTTACACAGATGATCACACCCATATTTCAGAAACCACGCCCAAATTGTAACTTGATATTAAATTAGCAGCTACAGGACTTCGAGTTACGGGCAAGATATATTTTTGTTTTTGTTGAACGTCCACATTTAGAAACTCAAACTTTTATAAACAGTTAACCGAACATCGAGTTATGGGCAACATAGATTTTTTGTTTTGTTTAACGTTCAAATTTAATAACTCGAATTTTAATTAACTGTTAACCGAATTTCGAGTTACGGGAAACATAAGACGTTTAACAAAATAACAAATTTATCTTGCCCAAAACTCGAAGTTCGGTTAACTGTTTATTAAAGTTTGCGTTACTAAATGTGGACGTTAAACAACATCAGCAATTTATGTTGCCCGTAATTCCAAGTTTGGTTAAATTTTAATTGAACATCGAGTTATAATGTGGGCGTAATTTGGCAAAAGTGGGCGCGGATTCTAAAATATGGGCGTGGTCATTTTTGTGACTCGATGTTCGTAACAATTCAGCATATTAAGAGGTTGTTTTATCATTCATGGTTTAATGTGCCGTGTGATGACTAAAACAAATGTTGTTATTTCTGCCGATTTCGATAACATCGACAGCCTAAACTGCACATGCGTGTTGTGATGTATTTGAATATGATAAAACATTATTATAACATTTTATAAATTACTCACAATATTTACTACAAACATTTTCTCCATTTCTAATTCATTAAATATGCTTGCATTATTGTACACTATGTCCAGTCTCCCAAACTTAGATTGAGTCATTTCATACGCATCTTGTTTGAAAAACATATCGCGACATCACCATAGAGTGTAAAAACTATACTTACATATAAGTATAATATTGCACATGATGAATATGTACTATGGTGTAGTGACACGAAATGCGCAAGGGTTGTTCACCAAATTGTGCAATTTGATGAATATTTTGGGTTATTAATATGGAGTCTGGAACATGGGGAATATGGTGTTTGTTCACAGTTAGATATCAAGCATCTTCGAAGTTTTGACAACACAGAAAAGTCTATATACAGCATGGTACAGCAGATTAAAGTATTAATTTCAATTTAGTACTCAACAGAGGATTAACAGTTTTTGATACATCCTGACTTAGAAAACATACACGATAGAGTACATCTCGGTCAGATTGATATTTACTCGAGTATTACTCGAGGTTTTATATCTCATTGAAGAATACTATGTGAATACAGTCGAAACACATCTGGTTTAAATAACTGTTGAGATAAAAAAAACAGAGTTTAAAGTCACAACGTGAGGAAGACGAAAGGGCAAATAAGTATCCATTTTCAAGTGAGCGCCACACTTTTGGGACGACCCCGTTGAATATAATTACAATGTATATTGTTTCACCAAAGTGTGCAATTTGATAAATATTTTGGGTCAATAATATGAAGTCTGCAACATTAGGAATATGGTGTGTTAATACAATTAGAAGTCAGCCTCGCTTGAACCCGGGTAGCTGCCCAATCAGGTTGCATACATGTAGCTGCCCAATCAGGTTGCATACATGTAGCTGCCCAATCAGGTTGCATACATGTAGATTAATGTGTCGGCAGAAAACTTATTCATGAAGAAAATGACTTATTCTTTAGTCAGTCAAGAACCAACCACTCAAAATCTTCAACGACAATTTTACAAACACAAATAAAATATAGACCCATAGTCAGATTTGGTGAAATCAAAGGTAACTGCCATCTGCCAACCACAGTGATTCTGGTAGCCATCACACTGCTGCTCGGCCGATGGTTCAAGTTGACTTCTAAGCTGACTTTGCTCCGCTTAACTGTTTTCCGAAGACCAGTCATATCGAAGTCAGTTTTGTTCAATGGATCTTAGAAACATTGAAGAAACAAACTAATTTTAAAATTGTACAGTAAGTGATAAGTTTACATGACTACATGTCAGAAACTACCAGTACAAGGATAATGTAAAATTGGTTCTCCATATGCTAGACTCCAGGGCAGGTTTAGTCTGTTTTCACTCACATTTTAGATTTGATTTTACGGTAACATCGACAAGAACGAAGACCAATTTAGATTATCCGTATGTCTTCTGTAACCTTGCCCGTATCTTCATCTTTATCAATGAATACCACGCCCTACATGTTGAAGTCAGAAAAAACATTGTAAACTATTGCACCTACATCAGCTGAGTCCTCCAACGAAAATATGGCTGAATGCACAAATAACAAACAATCAAAACAAATTTTGCGCTATTCTAAATGACGAACACAACATTTTGACGTCATGGTAGTACAACATATTTGTTGGAATAACCTATTACTACCGGCCTCAAACACATACCGATATGAATCAAATTAATACATTCATTGATACACTGACGATACACATTTACAAATGAACATATTTTTTTCAATCCAGTGGTATAATATTGAACACTCTTAGAAGATAGATTTTAAAAGATTATTTTGAAAAAAGCATTTTAGAATTTCAGAATATATATATATTCTCGACCATCTCCATCTCCTCTCTAGTGTATCTAATGATCAGCTGGGAGTCACAACTGTTTAAACTACTCTCACATCGTATACGCATCATGCTTTTGTAGGCCGAGCGTGAAATTACGTATACAGGGCCTTGCCAAAGTTGGCAACACAAATTATCGTCTCAAATTATGCAGGGCACAACCTGAAACGTAACAATTAACTAACTCCCCAAATTTATGCAGAGTCTCGCAAAAGTTGGGATTGTCGTAAATTAAACAGTAATCTTATTTTGTTGAAGATCCGTCCGCCGATGTTCTATCTGTGTATTTCGCGTTTTAGTGTTAATACTTCGGCCGTATTTTTTTAGTTGAGGTAATTTATTCCATAATTCATTCCACTGATTCTACAATCACGCCCTCTACCGTAGCAGCATCTCGTAGTTAAGCTTCTGTTTTTCTAATATTGTGTGAGGGACAGCAAACTAGTTTATGATATAGCCAGGAAAATAAGGATACTTGTAGCAGACACTTCTGTGGGTTTGGCCACTTTTTGCCACCGCCCAGAGACAAACATTATACTCGATATTTTGTGTGTCTGATTTCACCCAAAAAAAGAATTTCGTTTCGTGCCATCGCATCTCCGTTAGCCCTTTTCATTATTACAGAAATATGTGGTTCTTTAGTAGATAACAATGAAAAAAATGAAAATTAGGAAATTATAAGATAATTAATATGCTTCGATTTTAACTAATAAACACATGAGGTCTGCATATTATACTGGGAGGTGTATGTACCAATTTTCATTCGAATATGTTAGGAGGTTTTGGGGATGTGAGCAAAAAATCATTATTTATTATGCAAACTAGGTATTTTTATTCGGTCAAAAAAATAAAGATGAACATAAAAAAACAATAAAAAGAGTAGCTCGTAAAAAGAAAAGCAACGACTCGGTATAATTCCTCATAATAATATAACCAACACCACGTGCTAAAATATTAATATAATAGATAGCTTTAAAGCGCGGCAGTCGTCACGCCGCGTCCTGTTCGATATGGGACTCATAGCGACGTATACAACGCGTGTAAAATACATTGTTTATTTACATGAAATTCGAACACGCGCTGCACGACGACCATCGCGCTTTAATTATTATACACAAATATTTACAAAATCGAAACCTACTAAAATTGAATCGAAACGAAAATGGCCGTAGGTTCGGCTGACAGAAAGCATGTGAGTGGACTACAGTAAATTTGGGAAGTTGACACACTCGATTGATTACATTATTTAGTGCCATTGTCAACACAGGTGGCGCTATTCAGCACATTCGGTTGGTTTGGTCAATGTATTTTAGTGCTGGTTAACTGCATATGTGACGTCATCTGATGACTGCGAGACATAACGTGACAACGACGTAACTTGGGACCGGATCAGCAAACTAGGGATAAGCCAATTCAAAATTGGGGCGGGTCTTGGGAGCTTAAAAAAATGGGAATTTCAAAATTCTTAAGGGGAGCATGCCCCGGGCCCCCTAGTAAAGTAGCGATTTCGGCGCCAAGGTTAGTGAGCAGCCCCCCCCCCCCCGCGCCACACCTCCCATGAAAACTTTCGTGCAGCCGCCTCTGATGTAGAATGTTCCAGCAAAAGCCGAGACTTGTGTAATGTAATAGTCTTTATTGAAGTCGTATCCTAAAAATGGACATAGATCTAAGTACAATAAAGCATGGTTGTCATTCCATGTCAGAAACATTCAGAATAAAAAAAAATGTGTGTAATGATAAAAATAGCACTGTTCCATAATCCCTGCACGAGCCGTGCTCCTAAAATAGGGTTATAACCAGCAACTATAATTTTGCTCGATAGCGACATTATAAATCCATTTAAACAACAATATATCGTCTTGCCATGTATTTCTGCCTTTTAATACAAAACATGCATATGCAAAGAGTGCACCGAACCGTGAGAATAATTGGTTTGTTTAGAAAATGTAGATATATTTGATTCACAACAAAGAGATAATTTTTTGCCTACATTTCTGAGTTGCCTTGGGAAAAAGAAATGAGAAATTTCTGAATTTTCTCCAGACCCCTCCTCTCAATGTTCAAACGATTCACCCGTCATGTTATTGCGACAGTCAGGCGAGGTCAGAGTTCAACACGAATGCTGTGCATAAATTAAATTCAGCCAGTCAGCCACTGCAGTCAGTAATGGACATTGAAGGAAAAGTAGCGTTGATCACAGGTGGTGCTGGGGGCTTAGGAAAATGTGTGGGTGAACTTCTGCTGAGCAGAGCAGCACAGGTAATGTATTACCACTAACAACTTCCAGACGGTAATTAACACAGCTGAAGCGGTGCCTTCTCTAGTCTGAATCACGATTCTCTATGCGAATCCCCCTTGATTCTGGCTGCTGGCCATTTTCGTTCATGAAATCGTCGGATATCATCAGAAAACGCGGGATTTGTGCAGTTTTGAATAAAACCAAGTTAGCGATTATGAACAATGGTTATTAACGTAACACCTGATCCCCTCTAAAATTTTGCGCCGAAGTCTCGACTTTACTAAGGGGTCCAGGGCATGCACCCCTTAAAAAAAATTGCAACCTAGACCCTCTTAAACGCTAATTCCTGCATTTTGAGGGCCACGTTTTGCTTACACAAAGGGTTTTAGCTTGATTTTCGAGGGACGATGCCTCCAACATATTTTCGAGGAGGCACATATATTGTATAGATTGTTTTACATATTGTATTTAGTAGTGGCAACTTTGCAAGGCTTATCCGTGAGACATATCCCTGGTAATCACGTGATCGTACCAACGACTGCGGCTATTGACTGATCGCATGTTTACTCCGCCACGCCTTAGTGTTTTGACTTTTTATAATATAGAGAGTTTGTAACTTTTGTAAGGGGAAAAATGAGAAAAAAACCGTGGCAGGGAGGGGTTACCCAGGCTGACTGCTTGCGTGAATAGAGCTGGACTATCTGTAATGAACTAATGTGTATTTATTTGGGTCGAATCTGGTATCCCCGAATACAACGCCTGTGTTCATGACAAAGCACGAAGAAGACGACCTATGAAGTGCGTTCGATTACTGACTCATACATGGGGACACCTACATAAGCTAGATGCGTATACGATGTCGGAGTAGTCAAAATACTTCAAGTGTGACTCTGCGACTCTCTAGCGACCATTTGATACTCTCGAGGAATGATGGTTTCAATTTTGATTGTTTTTTTTTCTTCGCATGATTTTCAGGGTGGTGTAATTTTGTGTTGTTTTTCGATTTTTGTTTGATTTTTGTTCCCTTGAATGTCCCTTTACACTTGTAAAACTCGTCTTTGTACAATCGACTAATAGTTTATAGGTATCTAATAGTTTACCCCAATGGTTAAAATAAAAACTGTTCTTTTGAAAACGTATTGTCAGTGAATCGATGAATGTCATATATATTAACATCATATAATCATAGCGGTATGTGTTTGAGGCCGGTAGTAAATTTCATTCTGACAACCTAGTTTAGTGTGTTGCTATTATTGTCATGTTTTGCGCCCTCTAGCGACTAAAAGCTTTATGACGTCAAAATGACGGAGACGAGTGAAAGGTGTAATAGATTACAATGTTCGTTTTTCTGACTTCAAAATGTAGGGCGTGGTATTCATCGATAAAGATGAAGATATGGGTAAAGTTACAGAAGACTATTTAAAGAAGACTTATGGAGAATCCAAAGTGGTCTTTGTTCATGGCGATGTTACCGTAAAATTAAATCTAAAATGTGAGTGAAAATAGACTAACCTGGTCTTGAGTCCAGCATATGGAGAACCAATCTTATCCTATTCCTGTTGTATTGCGAGTTTCTGACAGTCATGTACGCATCAAACAAACTGGTTTTAAATAAAGGGCAGTAGTCGTCGCGCCACGCATGCGCGAGATATATGGGTCTCGTATAAACAAAGATGGCGACTTTGACTTTTGCGAAGATCAACGAATATAAACTGAGACGTTACCAAGCTTTAATTAAGTTTTTTAGGTGACGGAAAGGTATCGAAAGTGTCAGCGGCGGTATTTAGTGGAAATCACGCCCAGGTCAAATCTCATACTTGTGATTTCCACTGGAAGAGCGCATTGGATTGTGGGAAAATCAATGTTTATCAACATAAATATCGCACATACGCAGCGCGAAGACTGTCGTCCTTTAATTGGGATCATTCATACAGCAGTATTTAGATATTTTTGCTGGTCCCAAGTCGCCCAAATTACTTTCAGTGAATCTCATCCTGTCCAACATTTACGATCTTCTCACGTGATTGTGTGATAGACTTCCAACTTTTCTCCCACCACACGAATCTATGCAACCTTATCGGACAATTACTTGGGCTCAAGTGAGGCTGACTTGTAATTACATTTAACAGGGTGGTTACCGAAGTGTGGCGATCATTTGAAAATGAATACTAATTTGTGCACAATCAGCACGGATCTTTCGTCTTCCTAATGTTATGACTTAAAACTCTGTTTTTTACCTCAAAATTTATTCAAACCAGACGTGTTTCGACTGTATAACTACACATAGTATTCTTCCATGAGATATAAAACCCTGAGTCATACCCAAATACCAATCTGACAGAGATTTACTCTATCGTGTATGTTTTCTAAGTAAGGATGTGTCAATAACTGTTAATCCTCTGTTCAGTACTAAATTGAAATTAATACATTAATCTGCTGTACCGTGATGTATATAATCATTTCTGTGTTGTCAAAACTTCGATCGAAGATGCTTGATATCTAACTGTGAACGAACACCATATTCCCCATGTTCCAGACTCCATATTAATAACCCAGAATATTCATCAAATTGTGCAATTTGGTGAAACGATATACAACCCTTGCGCATTTTGTGACACTATCTGTATTCGTAGTTTGCCATATTATACTTATATGAACATCTAGTTTTTACACTCCATGCTGACGTCACGATATGTTTTTCATACAAGGTGCATATGAAATGACTAAATCTAAGTTTGGAAGACTGGACATAGTGTGCAATAATGCAGGCATATTTAATGAATTAGAAATGGAGAAAATGTTTGCAGTAAATATTGTAAGTAATTTATAAATTGTAATATCAATGTGTTATCATATTCAAATGTATCATAACACGCATGCGCAGTTGAGGCTGTCGATGGTTAACGAAGTCGGCATTTGTTTTAGTAGTCCCACGGCACATACAGATAATAAAACCATGTACGATAAAAACCAACCTGAGGATATCGCGTCTTTTACTGGTAAACTTGGTATTTTGACTGAGATGACTCATAAATACAACGTGATATCATTAAGTCATTAGAAGAACCTGATTCATAATACTGTATATATTCCAATGTATCTTTGTTGTGATTATACGTTTGTGCCGAGTTTCTGGTCCTATCACGTGACACTCTGCCCGATTACGTCAGCAATTGTAGGCTCGTTCCAAGTTGGTTCATTGAGAAATGATCGGAGTGATTGCAACGATTTCAGTGTTTCAAACATAGATAGGGTGAGCCTGTGCGTCTGAGAAAACACGTAGAAATGGTGTTTAACACACATGCTGATCGAGCAAGGTTGGGGGTTCAAATTAAACATGTACCTGTCATGCCCGCTGTGAAATATACTAGTATACCACGTGACACTAAAGTTAAGTTAACGTCAATACAAATTCTATTGGAGCTGGACTTAACATTACGTTAATGAATATTCTGTGGGAAAAGAAATCACCATTGTTTCGTTGACAGGTAACAATAGTACCATATAATCTGGCTTGATTGAATGTTGTACAAATGTCTGATCCTGTTATTTGAATTGTTGTCGTAGATGGCGCTGATCACCAGTACGTATATGGCAGTTGAGTACATGGGTAAACAACATGGCGGTCAAGGTGGAGTGATTATTAATGTTTCGTCGAACTTGGGTAAATATGCGTTGATGTCATTGTTTCTTCGTATTTTAATAAATACATTATTCAAAATTATAGCGATGTAAAAATACGTCACATTAAAGTGCGTATTTGAGGGTTTATATCTGCTGCTGTTTCCATTACCTTTAAAGGGCGGTAGTCGTCGGGCCATGCATGCGCAAGATACATGGGTCTTATATAAACAAAGGTGGCGACTTTGTTACGTAGATCAACGAGTACAAACTGAGACGTTTTGATCCTTTTCATTCCACACCGGGACATAAGGCTGCAATCAGGTTCTTCCATTCCTGTCTATCCTTTTTTTCATTAATTGATAGTCCTGTTTGTGCTACAAACCTAGAGAGCCTGTTGGTCTTTTCTTGCATATGGTCTAGTCTTGATGAATACAGAGCTATATCGTCTGCAAAATCCAGATCGTCAAGTTTGGAAAACATGGACCATTGTATTCCTCTTGCTTTGCCGACAGTTGTGTTTCTCATTACCCAGTCAAGGGTATTAAGGAAGAGCATGGGTGAGAGTATGCATCCTTGTCGTACTCCTGACTCAACTTTGAACCAGTCTGAAAGAGCGTTGTCTGGGATGATGCTGCACTCAAAGTCTACATAAAATGTCTTGATTAGTTGGGTGAGTTTTGGGTGAATTCCATAGGCTCCTAATATCCTCCACAGGCTGTCTCGATGTACACTATCGAACGCCTTCTTAAAGTCAATAAAATTTATAAAGAGTGATGCATTCCATTCCAAACATTGTTCCTTGATGTTTCGTAGTGCAAAAATTTGGTCAATGCCTGTTCTGGTCTGAGCTTTGCATCAATGGCTGTTTCCATTCTATTTAAAAACGATTTTGAAGAAGACTTTGCTTAGAATTGATAGGAGAGTAATTCCCCGCCAATTGTCACAGTTTGCCAAATCACCCTTTTTTGGAAGTTTTACGATGAGCTCTTTACGCCAATCATCTGGAATTTCATTTTTGATCCAAATACAGTGAAAAAGTTTGGTAAGGGAGTTAGTGGCAGTGACTATATCTGCTTTTAACATCTCAGCGTAAATTGCATCGAAACCTGCAGCTTTACCATTTTTTAAATTTTGAATTGCTTTCATCATTTCTTCTGTAGTTGGAGGATCTATGTTGATATCCAAATAGTTTCTGGCTAGTTGAGGATGTGCCGGTAATTCTGGTTCTGGTTTATTTAATACTTCTGTGAAGTGTTGGACCCAACGTTCAGCTTGACTATGTTCAGATGAAATGGTCTTCCCATCTTTATCTTTCACAGGAATGGATTGATTTGCATTGGATTTACAAAGTTCCTTGGTCATTGTGTAGACAGCACTGAGACAGCCTCTTTGTGCTGCCTGCTCAGCTCGAGCTGCCTTTTGATTGAGAAAATTCCTTCTGTCATTTCTAGCGGATTTCTTAACTTGTTTGTTCCTATGTCGGTACAATTCATTTAGCTGATCCTGAAGTCTCTGAGATTTGGTATTAAGCAGTTTATTCTTAATTTCCTTCCTCTCATCAATGAGTTTCCAGGTGTGTGGACATAACCATTCCTTGGATTTGCTGGCCTTGACACCAAGAACTTTCTTTCAGTTTCAACATAAATGTTCTTAATGTTATCCCAATTTGATTTTACATCATGTAGATCAAGGTCTTCTAGGGTACTAAACCGATTTTGTAATTCAAGAATGAACTGATTCTTGACAACAGGTGATTTCAGTTGGTGAATGTTAAGTCTCTGTTTAATCTGCTTACTAGCAGCTGCCTTCCTAAGTTTAAGCTTGACTGTTGCACATACTAAATGGTGATCACTGAAAACATCAGCCCCGCAGTATACACGTACATCCTGCAATGAACTTATTATTGACAATAACATGGTCGATCTGATTTTTATTTCTGCCGTTTGGTGAGATCCAAGTAACTTTGTGGATGGACTTATGTGGAAAAATAGTCCCTCCTATGACAAGATTATTAAAGGAGCAAAAATCAATGAGTCTTTCACCATTTTCATTGACAGTACCAATGCCATGTTTTCCCATGTGCAACTCTATATCTGTGTTGACAGATCCAACTTTGGCGTTGAGGTCACCCATAACTAAAACCATGTCATGTTGATGTATTTTGGCGATTGTTGACCGAAGTCGTTCATAAAAAGTGTCTTTGTCATCTTCATCTGCATCATTTGATGGTGCATAATACTGAATAATGGAGAGTTTGCAGTGGTTGGAGTTAAACCGGGCTGTAATCAGTCTGTCACTGATTGGCTCCCATTCCAAAAGTGAATTATTCCTTGCTTTAGAGATGATAATTGCTACTTCACTAGTGTGAGGGTTTTCACTACCAGAAAATAAGATGGTTGAGTTATCCTTTGCCTTTGATGAACCTGATCCTGTCAATGGCATTCACTGACTCCAATAATGTCAAAAGTTGTATTTGTACAACTGTAACTGAGACATTACCAAGCTTAAATTAGATATTTTTTCAGGTGATGGCAAGGTATCGAAAGAGTCACCAACAATAATTAGTGCAAGTCACGTCCAGGCCAAACGTCATTCTTGTGATTTCCATTAGAAGAGCGCATTGTATTGTGGGAGAATCAATGTTTATCAACACAAATGTCGCACATGCGCAGCGCGACGACTACCACACTTAATCTTATACAACAGTTTTGAATAATGGTAGCTTGTTTTTTTATCTTTATTTAGGCAATGCTGTCAGTTGCTAACATATATAGCTCTTAATTTTGTTTAATTTCCATTTTAAATTTATTTTTGAACATAATCTGTTGTACATTCAAATATTTTGCATAACAATTAAATGTAGTTTATCAAAACATCTTTAATGCACATTCGTTTTATGTTTACCAATACTATCCTCCTTCCTTGTAGGTCTAATACCAATGCCATACGGAGCCATATATTGTGCCACTAAACACGGTTCAGTTGGGTTCACTAGAAGTGTGGCTGTGAGTTATTACCGTTTGGATCATTTACTTTGGTCATGTTATTGGAATGCGATGATAACCTTGTTCATTTCTGTTCACGCAATCGAACATTACCCATCACCCACTGCGTTCTGTGATACGATTGGTTAGAAATACGTTCGATTTATACGGCACATTGAATAGGGTCACTTTCAAACGTTCGCAAATCGCAATAGTTCGTTTCTCGTGATATCTTCATGGCATATCACCGTTCTTCGTTATGAAAGTTGCATACCATAATCTAATGAATCCTTGTTAATGTTATTATTAGTCTCTTTATTTTATTGGTAATTATCTTTCTTTTAGATGGAGCCCTTGATCGTTGACAATGGAATTCGAGTGGCAGTCATATGCCCAGGCTTAATAATTAATACATCGCTGAACCCGGAATTGAATAATCGATACAGTGATAAATTGGTTGAGATGAAACAGGATATAGCATCCACATTGCAGTAAGTGGTGGCGCTAACTAATTATACGGTCAAATATTCTCAGTGTATTATACATGAGACATACATGTTTGTCCCATATCTTTGAATGTAATGCATCCATATAAACACGTTTTAACAAAAACCGAGTCTTTATTTGTGATAGCTACGTATTTGTGTCGTTATGCTATGAAATTGCCCTGTACTTGTTGAGTAACACACTCAAAATAAGACTACCCTTGACAAATTGTAATTATAATGTGTTTTGTATGAATATTGAGACAAGAATTTATCCGTATGAGAAGTATACATAACTACCTATTTGATTTGTTTAGGTTTTACGACCAATTATTAAAACTGTGACGCAAATTACTTCAGAACTTGAGTAATATGTACGTTTCATAACCGCGCACTATATAGACGTGGGTGTAGATGATACAAATTATTATTAATGATATTATTAGGACTAATTTATTTCATTGCTAAAGAGAAATCATCAATTACAATCTTGAATTATATTGATTGAAAGGTGTAAAATAAAGTAAAACTAATGAATGAAAATAACAAATATTTTTTATAGCTGTAATACCCAAACTGTCTTAATATACTATATTTATAAACTAACAAGTCATTAAGTGCAGTTAAATAGATACATCCAAGCCACTTATAAAATCGCTCATAACGACAAGTGAAAGTGACAACACTATGGAAAGTAAACATTGTACATTTCCGTATTATTAACGCTTACCCATTGGGAGTACCAAGTTTTAATATTTGACTACACGTACGTCACAGTTCGTACGTGTTATTATAACAATGATGCAATTATTTATCATCGACTAGGTCACGTGAATAACAAAAGTACATTGATGTTGAGTTCTCAGTCGCTTAATAAGACATACGTAAATACCAACATTGAATTATCATTTATTAAACGGAAATAATAGTGGCTGGGTACAATTTACTTTTAGTTATTCGATGTATCAAAAATCATTACGTTATATGTTCATATCATGTTATTATTCTCTTTTTTTCACCTTAGACCATCGACTGTCGCTGAGGGTATCGCCCAGATGATTGGAGACGATAAATACAATGGCTGTGCTTGTTCTATAACTAGTTCTACTCCGTTAACTATCGTGGAACATCCGAACGTACAGTTCTAGGCTGATAGCTGTACTGTCTCCAGAGAAAAAAAACACATTAACACTTGACAAATGCCTCGCTGGAACTACAGGGTCATTTGACAAATGCCGCTCTGAAACCACAGGGTCACTTGACAAATGCTTCGCTGGAACTACAAGGTCATTTGACAAATGCCCCTCTGAAACCACAGGGTCCTTTGACAAATGCCTCGCTGGAACTACAAGATCATTTGACAAATGCCCCTCTGAAACCACAGGGTCACTTGACAAATGCCCCCCTGGAACCGCAGGGTCACTTAATGAATGCCTCTCTGAAACTACAGAGTCAGTTCACAAATGCCCCTCTGAAACCACAGGGTCACAACAGGGTCACTTGACACATGCCCCTTTGAAACCACAGGGTCACTTGACAAATGCCTCTCTGAAACCACAGGATCACTTGACAAATGCCC